ATCTTTCACTTTTCTTATGGGATAACTGATATACAATGCCCCCCTTTACTTCAGAGGTTCAGTTTGCACAAAGCCTAAGGAGGCAATGGAAGGAAAGTTTACCAAATAGTTGTCTGGAAGGCTGACATAAAAGCCAAGAAATTTACACTTCCTCACTCTACAAAAAATTATAGAATAGGGGGACTGATTTACATGGCAGAGAAGCTCCATTTCCTCACCCGCTTTCCCCTGCCTGGTTGTGGAGGGAGTAGACAGAGCCTTTTCTTTCTCCTTCCTGTGACAGCCCAGGGGTGGGGCTGGGCCAGTGTTTGCCCAGAGCAGATGTGCACCAGCTGAGGCTAGCCAGGCGCCCAGTGAGGGGCCCTGAAATGGCAGCAAAATGCAATCTACATTGAAGTGTGATGGATATGGTACACGTTCAAAAAAGCGCTCTAATCTAAAGTACTTTAGTTTAATACTGTATCCATTCAAGGTTAACTTCGAGCAGGATCTGCCATTTTTAAAGTGCTTTAAATGCTGTGAAGGTCTGTTTTGTTATGACTTTAAAAGTCTTCCTGTGTACTTAACGTGCATTAAGTGTAACATCTGTACCAAGCTGTAGGCTGTAACTTCAGAGGTAAAGGTCTTCCTGAGCCACCTGAGCTAACATAGTTCAGCCCTGCCTCTGTCTAGTCAATGAGATACAAGGGAGTTGTGAAATCCAGCACAACAGAGCAAACTCAATCGAGTATTAACGATGATACCAAGCTCTGCACTTTTCATGAGAAGATTTAAAAGCACATCACAAAGAAAGTTATTCTTATTTTAGAAATGGGAAAACAGGCACAGAAAGATAACGGGCTTCTACACGTGGGTGCAGAGTCTGTTCTGACACAGTGATTAACTGAGTCTTCTGGAGCAAGAAAATTGATGCACTCTAGCAGCTTTCCATGTCACGTGTATCAGCATGCCCGTGCATCTCCACACTGAAAAAAATGGCAGCGGTGCACTTTGATATAAAGCATGTTCGAAGAGCTTTAGTTCAAAGTGTCCTGCTGCCATTTTTCCAGTACGGGGTTGCATGGTGAGATTGATACACATGATGTGCAGGCAGTTTTAATTAGTGCAGCTCACTTATTAAAAGCACCCAATGCCACATCCCAACACATGTAAAAATGCCCAGAGTGACCTGGTCACTGTCACCGGTGAGCCAAAGGCACAGACATAGAATTAAGTTTCCCAAATCTCACTAGAGTGAGGTCTCTAACTGCTAGGCAGTGCTGACCCCATTTCAGTAATAATATTAGTGATAATGGTGGTATATGCATTATAGACAGCATTCTTGCTTACATCCTATTTATTTGATGCATGTTACTTTTTTGCTTATTGTTACAATCTCTGTTCTGGCTGCCTCTCCTAGGTTTATGCTTCTTATGAACAGTTGCAGTCTCTGCACATGTTACTACAGCGTCTGTCTGAGAGATGTGTAAACCTCTGGAATACAATGTGAACCCTGTAATTGATAGAGAGAAAACTGTTACTTTCTGGAAGAGGATGTCTTCTTCCACACTTTGATCAGAATTTGATTGCACACAGGAGGTGAAGAAACAATGAGGTCAGTTTTTTAATATGCTTGTACAAAGCCACATTTAACATCCCACATGGTTTAGTTAATTTTTCACTCTTAAATAGGGATTTAATTTTAACTGGAGCAGAACAGGTTATGTGATGTGTCAAATTGAATGCATGCTCCACAAAAGCCTCCCAGATAAAAAGAAAGCAGTACATTGTGCTGAATTGTCATACGAAATTATGGTCAAAATAAGCCCACTTGTGAATGCTTTTCTATTATGTTTTGTTTTGCTAGGGGTAGAAAATTTCCTTTATTTTTAACCTCTACCTCGTTTTTGCTTTTGAGTTGGACTGCACATTCAATGTAGTGTGCACTCCAGGTTAGTGTCCCCTAACAACAAATTATAGAGCAAGGCAAAAGAGTCTCAGCTCAGATACTGCCAATCTAGGAAAAATTTTTTTTTACAGTCTGTGGCCCCAGTGTATTCATTGCTTATATCAAAGCTGAAGAGAGTTTTCTGCGTGGACAACAGCAAGTTCCAGCATTCACTGTGGGAAGATACCTAGTGAGTTCTTTCAAACTCTAGCGGTCAAGTTGTAGTTTCTGATAGCAAGGTTTCTGTCCAGAAAACATGCCGTTTCTGGGACACACAAACAATTCTATGTGGCTTTCTTTCCATTCTTCTTTTATATCAGTTATTACATACGTAGTTTATTGCAGAAAAGAAAATATGTGTTTTTTTTAAATGACTAATTGAATAGTCCTCCTTTTTAATTAATGTAACGCAGAACATTTTTTTCAGTGAATCTTTATTTCCCAAAGTTCAGAGCAGCTGAAACTATTCACAAATGTGGGTAGTATTCAGCAACTCATTTCAGCTGTAAAGGAATGAAGTGGGAAAAAAAAAGTTTTGGATGTGTCAAAACAGGATATTGCAGTCTTTCTCAAAAACAATGTGTTTCATTTTTTAGAGGGGCTGGATCCATGTGCATGTGTGTGTATGTGTTGGGGGGCATTTTTATAATAAACATATGGTAAAGAATAAATTATATATTCATAGGAACTAATTCCATATTTTCTTGTATACCACATGGTCTCAGATAAGACACACATACTATTTTTGGAAGGCAGAATGTAGAAAAAATAAAAGAGCCAACCTAGAGCTGGCTTTTTCATGGAGAGGCTATGCTGCAAAATAGCTGTCAAATACTGCTACCAATCTGAGAGTGTCTTCGAAAGGGTTAACAATGGACTCCATCTCTCCTGCTTGCTGGATGAGAGAGATTACCTGGCAGCTATTGTGCAGCAGTGTCTCCATACGTCTATTTTGATGAAGAAAATCAGTTTCTCCACTTAAGACACATGCCCCAGTTTTGGAGGCCTGAATTTTTAGGGAAAGGTGAGTGTGGTATACAAGCAAATGCAATAAAAAATTCTCTGAAATGGAAAATAAAATCTCAAAGTAGCGGAAGGCGGGGGCTTCTGGCATGCAGGGGACTTTTTAAAAAGATAACTATGCAAGGGAGACTTGTGGGCCTTTTTGTCACATGGAAGTGATACTAATGGCATGACTTTATGGAATAGAGCAGTGAATGTCATCTTTGAATGGGTCGTTGAATGCCCAAAGTTTCAGAGGCTATGCCAGGAACAGCAGAAACAGTTTGTCCCATCCATTACTTTATCTGTCTTAACGTATGTTGGAGCTGAGAATTTCTTTCCTTAATGCCATTATGTTTAGCTTAGTTTGAAATGAACAGAGCTATCTTGCTGGAATTCTCCATCCAGCACAAGGTGGATGCAGTAGGCAGCAGTAAGGCAGCAGCCCTAGATTTTAGGAGGGCAAACTTCAACGAGCTAAGGAGGATAGTTGGAGAAGCGCTGAGGTCCCGGAGGGGAGGGGAGCCAGGTGTCCAAGAAGAGTGGTCGCTCCTTAAGGAGACGATCCTCCAAGCCCAAAGGAAGGTAATCTCAATGAGGATCAAAGGGAGCAGGAGAGCGCACAAGCCTCCATGGCTCACCAAAAGCATCCAGGAATATCTCCTTGCTAAAAAGGAGGCTTACACCCAATGGAAAGAAGGGGTCATCACCAGGGAGGGCTATTCTGCAGTTGCTCGGGGATGTAGGGGGGTAGTGAGGAAGGCCAAGGCAGAGATGGAACTGGGACTAGCTTCCCAGATTAAGGACAATAAGAAGTCCTTTTTTAAATACATAGGGGGTAGAAAGAAGGTCCCGGGTAATGTGGGGCCCTTGCAGGAC